CTGCTGGCATAAACTGTGCTTTCTGTGTGGTCAGAAAAAACACTGAAGGAAATAGCAGCCACTCAGAAACCTGACTAAGAAATGAAAGCATTACTCAGGACTCAGTATCTTTAAAGAATTCCTGTAGGGGTGTAATGCCACAGAGCTGTGTAGGAGATGTGTGATCTATTTCTGGTGGTAAGACAATGAAATGTTGGAAGTGGGTGCTGGAAAACTGGCATTCACTGGCAAGAGGACACAGTCAGAAATATTGGACCATAAGGCATCTCAGGGAATTATGTCATACAGTTGCTCTCAGAATCAAATCTAGTCTTAATGTGAGAGTACTGCATTTACTTGAATACAAGGCAACACATTTTTTCATCTATTCCAGGAGAAAAAATGGTGAATGTAAATTCCTCCACAACCCCTCCAGGCCCACCTGATATGACAGTGAAGATTCTTCTAGACTGATGAAAATGCAGACAGAAACCTTGGGCTCAGGAAAGAGGATGCCAGTTACTCTCTTCCCCTCATTTCTCTACTTCATTTATAAATTAAATGCAGATCCTGCAAGGGAAAATGATGGAGAAGTGATCCCACTCACTGAAAGAAGCATGTGTGTGGGGAGGGAGGTTTGTGATTAGACAGGAGAAAGGAGGGCAAGGAAAAGGCATAAATGAGTAGGAGGAAGGAAAAGACACTAAATAGCAGCAATGGATGAGAAGTGAGGGAAGTGTGAGGTGCTGGCTCCCTCATCTTCAGAGGGAATAAACATCCTCAGTTTCCTTAGGAATTTTGGAGATAACACTCATCTGGTATTAAACCAAATGGCAGCTGATGTCAGGGAGCAGCAGTAGTACCCCAGCACAGAGCCATGGAGGAAGCAGAGTCTGCAGTCTGTGAGCTGCTGGGGGAAGGATGCCTCTACCCTTCCAGCTACCTTCACCTCTCTCACATGGACAGTCATCGCTGGCATCTGTGGGTACTTTTCAGTCATTGTTTCTTTTGCACCCAGTCCTTATTTTGGATGGCTACTCATGAAACTACCAGCTCTTTGAAGATCAACCACCTTTGGAGTGCCACAAAAAAATATTTATAGTGAGTTTATATTAATTTATTCATCTGCCTTTTAATAGCTCTTTTTTTATCCATTGCTTGTGTTAACCTCACCCAAAATACTTGGAGATAATAATAGTGTATCATATTGGATTTTATTTTGATAAACCACGCAAGACAATTTTAACTTCTCTCAAGTCATGGCTCTGAAGTTCCCTAAACATCCTCAGAGTTCCTCTCTGGTATTGGTGCAGCTGGACTTCATTTCTTCTGAGTGTGCTTACTAGAGCTGAACAAGGAATTGCAGTTCAGATCTTTCCAGTGCTTTATCCAGTGAAATGGGATTTCCCTGTCTCTTACAAACACATTTGTCTTTTCAGTGGCAATGGTAGCTCCTAACCAATGTGCAATCAACCAGTACAGGTCTGGTTTTGCATGGAGAAAACAGAGGTACCATGGAAGATTAGGCAAAATGCAGACCCTTGCAGTGCTTCTTGCTTTTCCAGCTCTGTTCTTGTGCTCTTCCAAGACTTTGGGCAGGCCAGTGGTCATGTCAATACTCAGCAGGCTTGAGATGCAGACAGCACAGCCATCTGTTTTTTTTTTCTATCTACAAGTATCCCACTGGGAGGTTCAACCCAACACTCCTGTCAGAGGTATTGATGCTGCTGCCAAGCTCACAGGTGTTGTCCCAGCTGGTTGACCATTCAGGGCAAGGGTGTCAGAGCAAGGTTTGGCAGCCCGATCGTTGGCTATGAATATACATACCAGGAATATGCTCCTTCAGAGCAGCAAAGAACAGTCTTCCTCCTGCACCACCCTGTGCTTTGCCCTGCCTGAAGCCACCCATCTCTTGTTTGATTGTCGTATTGCTTGGTACATTTGCAAAGTAACAGCCACTGACCTGCTGATAGTTTCCAACAGGCAGCATGCTCTATAGCTCAAGACTGCCGTCACCAGAGTGCTCTAGACAAAGAAGTCTTCTGAAATAGCAGGGGGAAAAAACCAAAACAACCAGTTTAGAGCTGAGCCTCTTGTCATCACTATTAAATTTCTCCATGTTGTATTACTTTGGTCTTCAAGACAAGGTGATTGTGTATTGTTTCTCCTGTTAATGTCTATGATTTAATCGTCTGGCTTGCTGTCTTTGTACCTACATGTAGAGTTCAGCCTTAGCTGATGTAGTCACCACGTTTTTGTATCATACATTAATTTGGAGAATGGCAAGACAGAGAAGTGATTTTGGTAAGCTTGGCGAGCAGAAACAGAGGCTTTTTCCACAAGGCAAATAATGTTAACTCGACCAAATCAACCTGGAAACAGATAAAAATTGTAGAACAGTGTAACTGAGACAAAGCTTAAGGCTTAGAGAGAGCTGTCAGACCTGGAGGAACAGTAACAATAACTATGGAAGGGAAGTAATCAATTATGTGGAGCTTCTACAATTAACTGTAATAATCAATGAACACTGTTTAAATGAAGAATTAAGAAGAAAAAAAGATGAACCACAAGGTTTACTTGGAGAGATGCTAGCTTTGTCCCTACATCTCTGTTCTCCCACCCGTGATCTTATTTGTTGCGGTACTCTTCTTACAGAGGAGCATGAAATACATGACATACATTTAATTCATGGTATCCCATTTGGGGTTGTTTTGGAGAGAGCAGTGTTTCTTTGCCCCCAAATCCATTCTTACCTCTGATTCTCAAGTGAACACACAATTCTTTCCCCCAAGAGGTCTGTTTGACTTCTTTGATATTTTTTATTTTCAGCCTCGGGGATTCCTGGCTTTGCACCCATAAGTTGGGAAAACATACTTCATGGAAGACAAACACGTGAACAAGTTGAAAGGCAGAGACAGATGAAGCTACCTCTGTGATATCTAAACAAAATACTGTGGACATAATGAAATACTCAAGCATTTGCATTAGTGTGTGAACTGGAGCTGAAAGAACAAAACTGATGCAACAGAGTTACTCATAGGTGGATTTAGGGCCTTAGTTTCTTTGCTCTTGACCTGCCGTTACTGCATGCAAAATGTCATGTGGGACTTTTAGAAGCCAATGAATCTAGGTTCCTGGCCACTTGACATCGAAGAATACATTTCTGACTGGTGGGGTATTTACGCTTGCCTGGTCTGCACTGGTTTTGATCATAGTCTCTTTCACTCTTACCATGCTTATCATATGGCAGAAAACTGTTGTGGATCTTCATCTTTCCCCCACCAACACTGTGGACTACCTCATACAGTTTTACTGGTAGAAGCCTGTACATCTGGTAAGACTTTTAGTGGAAAATACATAGAGCTTCGTGTGTTTTGGAGTTAGCACATGAAACCCAACCAAGAAATGTCAGTGGCAGTCCACAGAAGTAATGCAGCAGCATCATAACTATGTGTGTTCTGAGCATTGCCCACAACAAACTTTAGACTGTTGCCACTCAGTCTAAAGTTTTTATGGCTCAGTGCCTTTTCTTTAGGTTATAAGGTAGTGTGTGAGAAATGGGAAACTGAGGAAGCTGTTGTTTTCTCCCATGTGAGTCAGTCTGCCTCACTGCTACTGCTACAAATGATTCATGCTAGGTTTCTTACGCTTGTTTTTGTTTGGAGAAGGTTTCCCTTGATATTTAATTTGTCATCCTCACTCTTCCCATAGCTGATTACTTTCATAAGTCAGAACAATGAAGCAAGGGTCTGTAAAACACATGCATGTGTGAATTAAAATAACTTTTGAAAACGTCTGTCCTTACTCCGGGGAGATCAGACTGTTAGGTAAGTCTTTTTGCTGTCTTTCATTCTTCCTGGGATACACTTGGTCCCAGGTAGCTGAGATTTTCTGAGAGGAAAAAACAGCTTTCTGTTTACAGTTGTGATCATGCCATTGTTGGTTTTGTCATCTTTTACAAGGCCATAACACCCATTGGTAAAACTTGTGTTTTCTTCCATTTTTATGTGGGGATTGACATCTAGTATCTTACTGGCATCTCCTCTTACACTCATTATAGTTTAAGACGCCCCTGGTAGCTACATCGCTTAAGCAGGAAAAATACTACGAAAATATTGAAACGAGTCCTAGAAGTAGGGAGGAGCTGGGATGTATGTTCCCCCCCGGGGTACCCCACTGCCATTGGCCTTGTCTAGGAGCAGTTACACCAAACGTTTAGAAATTCAGGAAATCTTGGAGAGCCGATGGACTTGCTGAACCTAAGATGAGGTAGGTGCCCAGCAAGGGAAGTAGGTGGTGCTGGAGCTTGGGCTACTCTGTTGAGTTAGCAGCAGCAACACATGCTATCTGTTTGCATGGCACCATTGAAGGACTGAGCCAAAAATAGTAGGATCTGGCAAGCTCGCAGCGCTGGCTCTTTCACTGCAGTAGTACTAGCACGAATGTGCTGGAATCTGCTTTTTTGGGTGCAGTATCGGAATGGCTGCCGCGTTTCCTTCCCGCGCAGCCGGTATCGCTGTCGGGTTCGAAGCGTTTGCAAAAAGCAGGGGGGGATGCGGGCACGCGTGTCGGGCCGTGGACCGGCGGCCTCCGGAGCGCGGCGCCCCCGCCGTTCCCCGCGCCGGGCGGGGCGCTGGGCACCGGCCGCAGCCGCACGCCGGTGCGGGCTCCTCGCACGCCTGTCCCCCGCGGCTGCCGGAGCCGCGGGGCGCACCACCCGCGGGGCTCACCACCCGCGGCGTTGCCGTGGACACGGCGGGGGCGGGAGGCGGGAGGGGGCGGCCCGGACGCCGCCAGCGCCCCGAGGAAGTGCACGGAGGCGGCCGCGCCGCGCCGAGCCCACGGCCCTTTCCCCCCACCCCCCCCGCCGCCATTCCCTATTATAGAAGAGCTTCCGGCGGCGTGGACCACTCTGACATCATCCCCCGCACCCCGGTGACGTCAGCGGCGGGAGCGGTGCGTGACGTCGGTGCGTAGGGGAGCGCGGTGACGTGTGCTATTTAAAGCTCCCCGGGCGGAGGATGGAGGCAGAGCGAGCGGGTGCCGCCGGCAGCTGGAGACGGGTGGCCGCGGGCAGCGGCGTGCGCGGGGGGCTGTAGGGCCCAGCCCGGCCCGGCTCGGCTCGGCTCGTCCCGTCCCGTCCCGTCCCGTCCCGTCCCGTCCCGTCCCTTCCATCCCCCGGGACGGAGGCGCGGGCTGTGCGCGGCGGCTGCGCCTGCCCACCGCGAGGGGACGGGCGGGCGGTGGCGGAGGTGTGAGGCGGAGGCGGGGGATGCGAGCGGGCAGAGGCAGCGGCTCGCGGGCGCCGGGCACCGCCTGACGCGGCGATCGCTCCCTCCTCCCGCCCCACCGGTGGGGCTGAGCCCGCAGAGGAGCGCGGGCTCGTCGGCGGCGGCCCCTCCTGCCCGCCCGCCGGCAGTGACCGACCCGCCGCGCCCCAAGACGATGCCCGCCCGCTCGCCGCCGCAGAAGAAGGCGTGACGGCGAGGAGCGGACCCGCCGCCGCCGCGGGAAGGAGGAGCGGCGCCCCGTATCTCCGCAGCCGGGGGTGGGCGGGCGGGCGGAGCGGGGGAGCGCGGCGCCCCGGTGCCCGCGGGCGACGTGCGGCCGCAGCCCGCCGCTAGCCGCCGCACGCCGGGAGCCCGATGCCAGCGCCGGTGTCGCGGCTCGCTCTGCCTCATCGGGAGAATGCATCGCTGCCCGCCGCGCTGCCGGCGGGGGTGCTAGGGGGAGCGGCGGCGTGGAGCCCTGCGCGCACCGCCTGCCCCATCCCGCTCCGCCTCTGAGGCGCACGGAGCCCTCGGCGGCCGCTCACGTCCCGGCGAGGAGCGCCGCAGCCGCCGCCAGCCCCTCGCCGAGAAGGCGACCGCCTCCCCGCCCGCCCGCAGGAGGGGACCCGTCTGCCCCCGGAGCCGCCGCCACCACCCGCCCCGGGGCCGGAGCCGCTGCCTGCGGGCGCCCGGCGGGGCCGGCGGCCATGGGAGCCCGGCCCGCGGGGGGCGCTCCCTAGGGCGCGGGCGGCCCGGCAGCTGCGAGCCGGCGGCGCGGCAACCCCCCCCGCCCCCCCGCCTTCCCTCCCCGCTCCGCTTCGCCCCGGGCCTGCGCGGCGAGCCCAGCGCAGCGGCCCGCCGCCACGGGGCTGCGGGGCTGCCGGCGCGGCGAGGAGCGCCCCGGGGACGCGGCACCGCCGGTGCCCGGCGCCGCCGGCCGCCATGGGGTAAGGATCTCGCGGGGGGCAGCCGGGCGCGTACCGAGGCGGGGGGGGGGTGTGTGTGCGTGTGTGTGTGGCGGGGGTGTGTGTGTTGGGGAGCAGCTGCCGTTCCCGCGGGCGCGGATGGATGCGCACGGAGGCAGCGAGGCGCTTTGCTGGGGGGCGTAGGGTGGGTGGGGGGTGGGGGTGGGGGGGCGCAAGGGGCGTGAGCCCGGCTGCGGTCGGCGGCGAGCATCAGCATCCCGGTGAGAGAAGAGGGGTGCGCTCCGAGAGGGGCACCGCGGGCTGCAGAGGTTTGCCTCCGCCGTAGCCACGTCGGGTCGCGGGAAGGGGCGTCCCGGCTTCTGGATCCCCCCCCCCGCCGTGAGGACCTGCCCTGGGGCGTTAAGGGATGGTCAGTCCTGAAAACGACTGCTTTAAGCGCAGTGTGGCAAGGTGAAACTTCAGAGCAGCGGAGGCTCATTTTAGCTCTTCTGGAGTCTTCAGAGGATATGAAACAACGTGTGAATTGCCCACGAAAGTGAAGAAGGCTCTAAGGAAATCTGGTTTACAGCAGGTCCCCTAGTAAATTGGGACATCCACTTGAGGTCTTAAGGGAATGAGAAGCAATGAAAGCTTTTAAAACAAATCTGAATCTTACCCAAATTAGTAGATAACAAAGTGACATACGTACCAGTGAAAACTTTCCATGGTTGTATCCTTCATAATTTGTATAGTGAGATGAAAAAATAATCCCCACTACCGGGTTTGTCTCATACAATGGAAACTCATCCATGTTCCAAAGCAACAGAAACCTGCAGTGATTTGGCTAACTGCAAGGTGCAGGTAGACTTTTAATGCATTAACAAGTTTTCTCGTTTTCATGGTTTTCTGAGGCTTTATGACATAGTTCAGAGTACAGAAGTTACAAGTCATGTCCTTTGTATTTTGGTTATTCAGGAACTGGAATGTGAAATTGGTGTATTAATGTGGAAGCTAAAAGTGTCTCTTTCTTCAAGCTGTTAAAGACACTTGGAATTCTCCAGTCAATTAACCTCCTTGCATGTGGAGTGATCAAGGATGATGTGGGCTGCATCCCTGGTTCTGTCCTAGTCACTGGGGTTCATAGTACAAGGTGTAGGAAGGAATGACATCATAGGCCAGCTTTTATTTTCCCGTTGTCATCTCTTCCATTTAAAAAAATAAATAAATCCCCAACAGAATAAACCCAAGCTTGCAGCTATCTACATATTCAAGAAAGTGGTAATGTGTTTCAAAAACCTGCCAAATGGCTAAATGATACTATAATGTTTTCAGGATATATTCTTAAAACTTGTAAGCATACATAGAATTATGTAGCTTTTAACGTCCAAATAATGTAAAACCTCTCATTTATTTAAAATCAGTATTGTTTTTGTAGATACGTCAGTTAAGTGTATCATATTACAGAGAACTGTTGAAGAGGAGTAAATGTTCTTTCTTCAGAATTACACTGAGCACTGCTGAAAACAAAAACCTGATGAAAACAAAACAAAAAAAGACTCCCCTATTTCATCAACTCCAGTGCTGCTGGTGTTGTGGTGTCATAGCTTCTTAATGAACAGTACAAATCCATATCTGTAGAGAGAGTTGAAATAATACTGAAGTTGTTGGTGTGATGACTTGGGCAGTATCTTGGCACATTGAGGTCAGGAAGACAAAACTTGCTGACAAGTATTTTGAAGACTCTTCACATACTGGGGTATTGCAATATAGAGTTCCTTTGCAGACCGTCTTCTAGCAAAGTAGACAAAACCAGAAATGTAGCTGTGTGTTGCTGGTAAGCTCTTTACTCTCTAAATGGGAGTGTGCACATCCAAGCTGGGGCCAGCACCAACTCTCTGAGTCTGTGGTTAAGTATCAGACCTTTGCTAGCGTTCAGAGTGGAGGTCTTGATTCAGCAGCTGTTTTGTATTAGCATCTAAATGCAGTTGCCTGTAGAGTATTTCTAGACCGAGGTATACTGGACTTAACACTGCAGTTGTAAAAATAGTCTTCTGGTACTCTACTAAGGTCTTAACACTGAGTGCTCTAGAAACAAGTTGTAAAATGGTTGATAATCCATGTACCTGACCACACGAGGGTCTGTGTACTATAGTCAGTATTTAATGGGTACTGCTAGCCTACATAAGCTTGTACAGTGAGCTTGTAGTACCTGGCTGGTGGAGAGTTTTCCTATTCCAGTGGTCAGAAGACAGAAAATGTGAGATGGGGGAGAGGAATTGACTTGCCAGACCAGGAGTGGCTTCCTTAGTCTCATTTGTTACAGTGAGGAATTCATTGTACTGGTGCTGTAGTTCAGCATGCTTGGCACATTGAGTACCATCAGGCCAGTCAGGTAATTATGTGCTGTGAATGTGGTGGATACCAAGCGGTGGGTGACTGGTCTCTGGGCCAATGCTGCTATTAAATATCTATTTTGAGAAATTTGAAACTAGAGAATGGTCCATAGGGTGCAGTAGTTGAGGAGACACTCTTCTTAGTGCTGTATCCCGTACGTCTGTGCACATCCCTCATCTCGCAGGAGAAGGTAAACAAGTCAAGTCCTGGGGCTTGTATAGGCCAGGCACATAGGATGTCCTCTCTTGCTTGTCTGATAGTGGCACTACCTGCTACTTTGTCTCCTATCTCCTAGTTCCTCATCTGTGTTGCATAAAGACAAGTTCTTATCAATAGTCACTGCTGAGTGATAAAACCATTTATTTGTGCGGGCTCTTCTGTTGGGTTGATCACACAGAATATACCATTCTTTAATAGGAAAACATGGATTTTTGTGTAAATAAGATGACCTTAGTATGTTCTCTCCTAGTTCATAGCATGTCTCTCTTGTATTCCTAGTATTGAGAAATATGGAATTTGTCAGTATTGTGCAATCAGTCTTCTTTGAGCAGAGGTCTGATTACATTAAAAATCTTCGAGAAATAGATCTTAAGTAAACATGCTCAGGATATATATTGGTAGTCTAGATTATTGGATACATTGACCAGGTAAATTCTGTGTTAAAGCTGCAAACGATCACAGTATTCTGCTGGTCACTGGTACAGCTTTTTCTTTTACCTGGAGTCAGGGAAGTTAGAGGTTTGTATTTGTGAACTGTGATGCAGTCATTGCTTAGGCTGAAATGAATATACTTTGTGCTAAACACAGTATGGAAGCTGCACACCCATGAATTCTGGTAGGGGTAAGAATTTGGTGTCCTCTTAAACTTAATCTCTTGGATTAACTCCGGGTTTATTAATGGGTAATCTCTCCATAACTACTTATCTTTATGGCCTTCTGTGCTGTGGACAAGTATCCAAATTTATTTTACTAGCTTTTCCCTTCACTCTTGCTGAATGATAAGGAATTACAAGGTAGAAACTTCTGTAAAACGTGCTTGTCTCTATCGTGTTGCGTTAATCAGTGTCTTTATAAAGACTTAAACTTTTCTTCGCTTTTGTTGGACTATGTTTAGTATGTTATCTTCATAAAGGTGGCTATGATATGTGTCAGTTTGAGATGGCAGAATTAGAATACTAGGGTTCTTACGCTGGCTGGAGAATATTGTAGAAAACAAGTATTTTAGGATGTACTTATTAGCATTGTAGTTGCCTAGGAATAAATTTTTAATTTTTGGCAGTTGAGAAAATGTCTGTTGCTGGTTGATCCACTCCTAGCTCTTACCCTTTTGGAAGGATAGGGAGTTAGTCGAATACATTTCTTTAAAGCACTCAGGATGCAGCGTCCTATTTTGAAAAGAGAATAATAGAGTTGTAGGAGAATTGACAAATCATGCTCATTCTAAACTGTAGGGTGTAATAATTTTTTTAGAGCCCATTCGAAGCTTGAAAATCTAAAAATATGTGAAAGTCTATCCTGTTTGAACATACAGGATAGACAAATCTTGCTGTAGAAATTGGAAGTTGGTTTTGGTTTGCTGCCTGCTGACTTACTTTTTTAGGTGTTTCTAAACCATGGTCTTGTCCTTAAACTTTTCAGTTTCCTTTCTCTAGCTGGGTAATGAGCCATGAAAACTATAAAGCTGTTAGGAGCCAGAAGCATTATTGATCATTGAATTTGACTTGACTCAGGTTCTTTAACCCATCTTTTACCCTCCCACAAGTCTTAATGATAGGTTTCTCAAAACTTTGTCTTAGCAACAGTTCCATCAGCTGTGCTCCTCTGACACAGAAATATTGCAGATAATAAAGCAGAAGGTACAGCTTCTTGGCAGTAGTTCAGTGTTACTGCAATTCCTGGCCATCTTGCTGTCTTGGGGTAAAATGAGATGCTTAATTGTGTGAAAGCAGTGGCAGCAAAGTAGTTTATGCTGTCTTCTGTAGCAGTGTGGAGAGCGTAAACAGAAACAGATCAACGTCACTTTTTATAGATAACACCCACAAAACTTGATTATCTGAAAAAAAAAATAGTAAGGTATAAATACATAGACAGATGGAACGTATGTAAATCAGCTTGAAATGGTTAATCAAATACTTTCTCAGGCAGCAATGTGTGAAGACCTCTACCATGCTTATATTATCTTCTGCCACAGTAGTTTTATGACCGTGAAATAGGCGTGAGACATCTAAACCGGTTCTTCTGGCCTGGCAACACAAAAATGAGTGTCCCAAACACCATGGGGGGATGATTTCCTTGTTGATCTAGTGAAGATATTTGTAATGCCTTAAGTTTGCAACTGATCCATTTCAGTATTTCCATGCATTATAAGGATTATATAGACCAGCTGTTTGGGTGAACTCTTAGTTCTGCTGAAAATAAACATTTAAATCCTTCACATTTATCATGCTGAGATTATTCTCAGTGTCTCAAGGCAAACATCAGATGAATGCCTTGCATGTGTGTTCTTGGTGATTTCTGTCTCCTAAACTCTGCTTGCTCTACCCCGATACCCATTATCTTTGCAGGACCCATAATCAGATGTCGAGCCAATACTTGAGGAAATACGGAGTCTTAAAGCCATAGAGATTGCAATAGCTTGAAATATTGCA